CTCACATTTCAAGCATAAGTAGGCTGGGCGAGGTGGCTCACACCTGTAATCCCAGCACTTTGGGAGGCCGAGACAGGTGCATCACTTGAGGTCAGGAGTTTGAGACCAGCCTGGCAAACATGGTGAAACCCAGCTCTACTAAAACTATAAAAATTAGCTGGGTGTGGTTGCGTGCACCTGTAATCCCAGCTACTCTGGAGGCTGAGGCAGGCAAATAGCTTTAACCTGGGAGGCAGAGCTTGCAGTCAGCTCAGATCGCACCACTGCACTCTAGCCTGGGCTACATAGCAAGACTCTGTCTCAAAACTAAATAAATAAATAAGCATAAATAGTAAAAAATAAAATAAAATAAAAAATAAGGCACAGGGTCTTGCTCTGTTATCCAGGCTGGAGTGCAGCGGGGCAATCATAGCTGACCAACTTGGAACTTCCGGACTCAGGAGATCCTCCTGGTTCAGCTTGCCTTGTATATTTTTAGAGATGAGGTCTTGCCCTGTTGCCCAGGTTGGTCTCCAACTGCTGGCCTAAAGCAATCCTTCCGCCTCAGCCTGTTAAGTTGCTGGGAGTACAGGCGCAAGACATACAGCCTAGCATTGTAGTAAAACAATTTTCAACAAATTCTTAATTTTCTTTCTTTTTTTTTTTTTTTTCCCTGAGTTGGGAGTCTTACTCTGTCACCCAGGCTGGAGGGCAGTGGTGCAATCATAGTTCACTGCAGCCTGCCTCAGTCTCCCTCATGCATTATCATGCCTGGCCAACTTTTAAAAACTAGCTAATACTTAAAAATTTGTAGAGACAGGGGTTTCACTATGTTGCCCAGGCTGGTCTCCAACTCCTAACCTCAATTGATCCTCCCTCCTCAGCCTCCTAAAGTACTGGGATTGCGGATATGAGTCACCATACCTGGCTTAATATTCTTATTTTAATTTTATATTAGTGATTATTATTGTTCCTAAGATAATTGGGGCAGTGACTCCTTTAAAATTTTAGAGACCTAATTTGTCTATTCACTTCACTGAAAGAGTATGACAGTTTGTTTCATGAGAAAATATCCTATATTTATAAAGCAGGAGAATTTCTTCCACCAAACTAGAGGGCATTCTAAGGAAATGAATTGCGCTAAGTAACATCACTTAAGGTGAAAACAGAGGCAATGAATGGTATCTATTAATGTTTATCAGTGAAGGAAATAAACTGAAAATATTAACATCATTAGATCCTTGGAGGGCCTTCATTGCTGAAAATCTGAGTGATATTGTGATACCCTTTTGAGTCCGGCAGGACATTCTCTTTCCAGGGCATAGAACAGTGGGTGAATAATTTCTTTTCATTCCTTTTCATTAAGGGCTGAATTTCCTTAATGTTCTGGAGATTATTACATTTGATTTGTATGGTTGTGAAAAGTGCCCATATTGCTGATTCCATTGCTTGTATGTGATCATATAAATCTTTTCTCTCCTTTCTGTAGTGTGGTTTAAACTTAATCCTTAAAGGACAAGTGTTTGAATTTTAAAGCTGGTTAGAAACCTGAATATACCAATCACAGAACACTGCTCCTTACATGCTACAGATTCAGTTCTTTTCCTGTACTAAGATTTCTTTTAGATATAGTAAATTTGTTAAAGCCAAGAGCTCCTGTGGAACGAAGTTTGGTGGGAGGGGGGGCACTGAGTAGTAAGATCACTCTTGTAACAATGATGCCACTCTTGCAGATATTGACAACTACTGGGCCCATAAAATTTTTACCAGACATTTGAAAGACAAGATATGAACAACTTACCATTGCTGCAGTCTCAAATATCAGGAAATACCATTATTCTCAGGACAATACATAGACAATAAAAGAGACTCACAGAGCAGATTAGCTGTCATGTATTACCAAACAGGGACTGGATCCTTGTCAACAACACCCATCAGAGATTGTCCCCAGAAATTCACTTCATAACATCAAAATCAAAAACCTACACTGATGGCAAAAAATAATGATACAATAATGAGAGAGAGAGAGAGAGAGCGAGAGAGAGAGACCTGTCCTATAGCCATACTTAGTGGGTAAAAGCCAAAGAGCTCAATTTCTGCTCATGATTCTTAATAGAACAGAGGGAACATAAGCCAATAGCTCAGTGGGTTCACATCTGCACCAAGTGCCTGTTGCATGCAGGATTCTACTGTCTCCAATAATATGTCACAGATAGACTAATTTTTTTTTTTTTTTTTTTTGGACAGAGTCTCGCTCTGTCGCCCAGCCTGGGGTGCAATGCAATGGCGCGATCTCGGCTCACTGCAACCTCCGCCTCCCTGGTTC